TAACCTTATTGGATTCCTCCGAGAATCTGATCACATTGAAATCCCCACCCATACACCAGGGCCCATCCCACAACCCTCTAACATCAGCCAATTCCTCCCACAACTCCTTTCTCTCTCTGTAGTCATTTGGTCCGTATACATTTGTGAGCACCCACATATAATCATCCTCTTGCTGCTTAAACTTCATGGAAACCGAACTTTCCGATCAACTCCTCCAAACCTTCAACCACGTCCCTCTTCCACATTGTTACAATCCCCCCGGAAGCACCCCACGAGGGAGCAGCCACCCAGCTAATCCCCCTAGCTTTCCATACACTCCTTCCCCATTTGTTATTAAACTCCATTCTCTTAGACTCTTGCAACAGCACAATGTCTGGGTCATACCTCCTTATTACCTCTTTTATTGTCGCTCTCTTCCTTGCACTCCCAATTCCTCTCACATTCCAACTAAGAATCTTCATTCCACTTCTTTTTTAAACCCCTTGCCACCTACCCACTACTTTCCCCCTTTCCTTCTATCTCCGTTTACCCCGAGCTTCTTGTCACCTTCTACATCTCTCTTTAGTTTCTCTACTTCACTCAATCTCCTCTTCTTTGTTCTGATCTCCTTCTTCCTCTTCTATAAGCTTTATCTCAACACATTCAAATCTTCCAACCTACAACCCAACTTCCCTACAAATTCTGCTATCATGTCTTCTCTCACCGAGTCCTCCACCCCTACCCTTCCTACAGAATCCCCTCCATCTTTGTCCACCTGCCCTTTCTTCCTCTCCTCTGGTCCCACCTCTGTTCTTTCCTCTCCATCCATCATCCCTCTCCTGTTACCTCCCTCCTTCCCTGTTCTCTCCCCGTAATCCTCTCCATCTCTACCCTCATTCCCTTCCCTCCTCTCCACTAACCCCTCCCCTCTTCCTTCCTCCCCTTCCCTCCTCTAGATCAACTTTCCTTCCACTTCCTTAAACACTCTTTCAATGATTTCCCACAATTTTTCACTCCTATACCTTCCTTCCCACACCTTCCCACTTTCCTTCCTTCCCCTCTCCCCCTCCTCGGAGAGCCCACCAACTAGCTCGGCTGCATATTCATGGGCTACAGGACATGAAACAGGAACAGAATCTGGAACCAAAGACACAGGAGACACATTAGTAGCACAAACCGAATTCACTTGGTTACCTGGGAATGATGGACAGGCTAGAAAAGGACTGCTCCCGGCCTCCCTCTCTTGTTCCAGAGGTTGGTAAACGTCTATCTCCCTAAGTTGGTTGGAAAGTACTTCTGTCATTTGGTCATCTTGGTGATCTTTCCACTCTACCCCTGGTTCACCCCTAGATGGTGTGTTCCTGCTTTGCTTCCGGTTCTCCCGGTTTGCCCCTTCTGTTATTCCTTGCACACTCTGTAGTCTTGGTAATGAGTTAAGCCGATTACAATCTTCACCCTGAAATAAGCTTGCAATATTCCACCTGTCCATGTCACTTCCAGCACAACTACCTTCGTCATTTACACTGCATGCTAGTACCATCAATAGAAAAGTCCTCCGATTCTTCATCTTCTTCATTGCACTGCACCCAGCCTTCATCCTTCTCTTCCCTCTCTTCAGTTCTTTCTCTAGTGTATCTTGGATTCGACCTCTCTAAGGAGCGTCGCAGGGGGCTAAGCTCCTCCAAACTTCGTCGGGAAACCCACTGCAAATCCAACTTCTCCATTTTCCGCCGCTGCGCGCATTCCCCCCCTTTCTTGCGACTTGGGACGATGATAGACCATTATCATCGTCTATTAGCGGCCCAAGAAGAGTCCCCATATCCCAACCCACGTGACATTTTAAGTTATCACGTGGGTCCTTCAAGTGGAACCTCCTTTCAGAGTTACACCCACTCGACCCGTCCGCGTGACCTTTTAAGTTGTCTTGTGGGCCCTTCCAACGCTGTCTCGGCTCAAACTTCACCCTGCCTGACCCACCCGCCACCTTCAACGGCTCGGACCAAACCTTCCGGCTCCCCAACCCATCCTGCCTCTTCGCCACATCAGCATAAGAAGAAGAGCCCGCCATTAATTTGTTTAATTCAAACCCGTTTGAATTAGTTTCCTTAATTAGGTTGCTTGTCGTTTGGTTTTCCCCAGCCGGCTCAATAACCCCAAAAATAACTTTCATCTGCCCTCCACGTGTCCACCACCCAGCCAACTCATCATCTTCTACCTTAGGAGCACCTTCCCACCACGACCGTTCAACTTCTGAAGCCACCCACACCTTGTACCAGGCTTCATCCGAGCAGATTTCAAAGAACCTCGGCAGGTTCTCATGCCTTACACCAGCTACCTGCAACACCATGGCACCCAGATTTCGTTTATCAGCTTTCACCAATATGCCTCCCAGACTCTGCACGATGTGCTCAAGAACAAAGTCTCGCCAGAGGTGAAATGGAAGGCCTACATGCTTCAGCCGGACACACCCATCTTGGAATTCAACTTCATTGCAGATTGGGCTCCAGTTCTGAACCTGTATCAGACCTCCATCCACCGCAACTGCTTTAAAACTTAGTTCCTAGTCGCCTACATCAAGCATGGCTTTCGTCTCTGCAAAAGGGAACAACATAGCTTCACTCCCAATACCTATCTCCCCTGCAACTGTACTCAGAACCCTCACTAGCACCCTTCTTTTCTTCCA